AGGTTTGTGCTACTTACCCAGAATTGACTGTTGTTCCATCAAATGTTGATGATACCATGTTGATTGCTTCTGCTAAGTTTCGTCAAAATGGTCGATTTCCAGTTTTGAGTTATCGTCACGAAAAAGGCGTAAGTTCTTAATGAATTTTTTTTTCATGTCAAAAATTTAAAAGTGCATTTTATTTTACTGAGAATTTTAGTTAACATTACTATAATTTAAGATTAGTCAATGGATTCCACAAACATGGTTAGTGGTTTTTCTGCTACTATTTTTCTGTACTCCTTATTCTTAAATTATACTAATATAAACATAAATAGACATTTATAGAAAATAAAAGATATTCCATGTAAGATGGTCCATACAAACTGGGACATAGAACTTCTCTTCCTCAGTTAGTTGTCCACTATGTTTTTTTTATAAATCTTCCTATTTATATACATTATTAATGACTGATTAACATAGCGCTAGACCACTGGAAAATCCCTAAATACCATTTTCAAAAAAAATCTGAATTTATTATTCGTACACCTAAAAAGATTAAAATATCATCTAAAATAAATAATTTTATTGTTAACTGTTTAAAAAAACTTAATAAATGTATAATTTATAGAGTGTGTTAATGAGAAGTAGTCAGCCTTTAGTTGGTTCAAGTTCTAAACGTTGTAAACAAGATGAACGTGTTATAAACTCTGTACTTGGTCCTGGAAAAAGAGGGTATATAATTGATACCCGCAGTGTTGCTAATGCTACAAATGCTAGAGCTCGTGGAGGTGGATTCGAAATGGAAGCTCACTATCCTCAGTGGAGACGAGTAAATTCGGCTCTTGAACGTCATAATGTTTTATTGGACAGCTTGTCAAAAATAGTTGAAGCTTGTAATGATACAACATGTACTATAGATCGATGGCTTAACAARTTAAATGGGAGTGAGTGGTTGTCCCATGTTAAAGATACATTAAATGCAGCTTGTTTAGTTGCACAATGTTTAAATAAAGAGAGAGCTTCAGTATTGGTACATGGATCAGAGAGCACAGATGCGACATTGGTATTAATATCATTAACTCAATTGATATTAAATCCAGAATGTCGAACAATTGTAGGGTAAGAATTTGTAATATTATTTTAATATTAATTGTGTGTATTGAATAATGATTTTGATAAATATTTATAGATTTGAATCATTAATTGAGAGAGAATGGCTTCAAGCTGGACACCCATTTGAAACTCGCCATAAAAGTGGTTGTTACAATGCAGCTCGAACAAAAGTATCTTCGTCTACTACATCAAAAATTTTCCATCATGGATCAGGCGCCACATTTTTATTATTTCTTGACTGTACATGGCAAATACACAATCAATTTCCATGTTGTTTTCAATTTTCCTCAAATTTTTTATCATCACTTGTTGATCATTCATACTGTTCAGATTTTAGTACATTTTATGGTAATTGTGAGTCTGATCGAAAAAATAATCAATACGGAAAACCTAATTTATGGTCGCACTTTGATCAAAAAATTGATGAAATTATCAATCCACTATACCTACCTACAAATGATGTAATATGGCCTTCTGTTGCTCCATTTAGTATAGTAAGTATATAGTAGATCATGATTTACAAAATATTACTTTTGATAAAATTTAATAAAAATTTCTTTTAAATTAAATTTAAATTTAGTTATAATAAGTATATTAGCTTGTATTTTAAAATTTTTTGTAATTATTTAATCTAACCAAATTTTTAGGAATTGTGGCGAGATATGTACTTAAGATGGTCTATTGATCAAACACATCAAAAAAAGTATAAAAAATCAATTGATGATTTAGTAAAACGAAATAAGGAATTAAAAGTCTTAGCTACAAAATTACTCAACGAGAATCAAGATACTGGTAACAAATCTACATAACTAATTAATTATATTTTCTGTTTTATTCAATACAGGTACCAAACAATTATTGAATGATATGTTATTATTTTTTTTTTTATGCCATTTAATTTGTTAATCAACTTTAGAAACTATATAATATATTTATTACTGTATATAATTATTTATTTCCATTGAACCTATATTCAATATTGTATCAATTTACCTGAAAATAAACAACTTGATTACCAACTAAAGTGTTAAAGAACAAAGGTCATAATTTTTTTTATATATTTACCAGTCAAATTATAGAAAACATTATTTATTTAATACATTAATTCATGTTATACCTAATATATTTTTGTTTTTATTAATTAGGTAAGAATTGCTTACGACTAGTTATCATTAAAAAGTTTGTCTATATCCATCATAAATATTTTTCTATTTTAGGTATTTAAATTAT